TACAAGCAAACTGCTAGTTTCCATGCGAATGATTTTGAATTCGTCCGTTTTGAGCGCCGCGGTAAAAGCTGCTAACTCCTTTTAGTAAAATTTGTTCAGAAGAGTGAAAAAAAATTATCAAGTAATAACTACCCACTACCTTCGAAATTTTAAAATACCTTTTTGTTGCCCTTTGTGTACTCTGATTTTTGCCCTTTCAAAAACTATGTTCCTCGCTAAGGTTTGAAATTATTTTCTTCGCGCAATTTTTGTTTTATTTATTTATTTTTCTTTTTTTTTTTTAATTTACTTTTAGACTTTATATATTTAAAAAGAAAGTTATACGTATGTATGTAGATATATTTATATTTTTTTGTTAAATTTTTTAAATAATTTTTTCTTTTGTAATATTTTTTTTTTTTGATTTTTAGAAACTTATTTTTTTAATTTTTTTAAGTTAAGTTTTAAATTCGATGTGGATTTACACCTCTATGACAAGACCCATAATTAACCATGGATCTGTGGTATGGTAGAGTAAACTCTCAATCAATAACATGGGAAATCTTATTGCACAAACTTCAAAGAACGATCCCACTGTGCGTCAGTCAAATATCAATCGAAAATTCGTGTGAAATGTTCGATAGGTCCTTTATGCTAAATCATATATTTATAGTGTTAGCAAATTTTCATTGAAAAAAATTTATTTGTTTGGAGTTAGCAGAATTTCTTTTCAATTATTGTTTGCGATTCTAAATACTAAAAAAAATATAGATATTAGTGTAGATATTTTCCTCTTCCCGTCAGTATCAAAAACTCTCACATAAAAAGCTCCGTTGCCAACTTTAACGGTGAATAGCTCCTTTCACTGAAAGTACTTAAGAATGTTTCAAATGGAGATGTGTATCATTTTGTTCGCGCTGCTCCAACAGTCGCAATGACCAAGTGAGCAAAGCACTGGCGTGTCTTTCGAGAGGCCGGAAGTTCAAATCCGCGGGCAGAAGAGTTTTTAATTTTTCTTTTAATTTATTTAACTTTTTTTAATTTTTAAGCTTTATTCTTTCAAGGGCTATCTGAAGTTCTCAAGAAAATCACAAGGAATATTTTCATTATTTCTGTTGCCTGAAAAAGTACTTCACCGTTGCTGTAAATTTAACTAGATACTGATTTAAAAATGTTGATAGAAGAAAATCTCTTTTTCATTTCTTGTTCGTCATTTTATATGAATTTTTAGTTTTTCTTGAGAGCGGCAGCCCTTTGAAATTAAAAATATATATCTTTTAAATTTAAGTTAATTTTTAGAGACCTATTTTATGTATTTTTATTAATTTATTTCTTTTATTCATTCATTAAATTTTCATTTAATACATTAATATTAAACTTTAAATTGTTGTTTACTAATTTACTTAGTTTCTAGAAACTTCTGTATTTTGTTTTTGTTCTGTTCTTTAATTAAACTTTTTCTTTTTTTAATTTTGTTTACTTTAGATTTCATTATTTTAAAATAAAAATATATATGTATTTGTATAATTGAGTTATGCAATACCTATTTTATGTATTTTTCTTCTTTTTTCTAGTTTTTAGAAACTTATTTTTTCTGTTCTTTAAATATTTTCTTAAATTTAATTTTCTTTAAGTTCTTCTTTAGATTTCATTACTTTAAAAAGAAAAGTATATCTTTTTTAAATTTTTTTTTAATTTTGAGAAACCTAGTTTATGTATTTTACAATCATTTTTTTTTCCTCATTTTTTTCGTTTAATATTTAAATTTTTATGTTTTGAGAAAATATATTATTTTGAATGCTTTTAATGTTAGGGACTCATTTTATTTTTTTATAATGTATTTTTTTCTTTTTAACGTAATTTTCTTTTAGTTATTAGAAATTATTGTTTTAAAAAGAAAAATGTTTTTAATGTCATTTCTTTTTTTGAAAACTAAATCTATGTATTTCTTAAATCTATGTATTAATTAACTTTTTGTTTAATTTAATTTTCTTTCAATCTTTAGACTTTATTGTTCCAAAAAACATTTTTTTTTACTTTTTAGGAACCATTTTTTCTGTTTTTAATTACATTGTTTTTTTTTAATTTTTTTGATTGAATTTTTTTTAGATTTTATTGTAGTGCCAAAGAAAATTATTTTTTTAATGTAGTTTAGACCTCAGAAACTAATTTTTTTGTTTTTCTTTTACTCGTTTCTTAATGATTTTTTTTTTTTTAATTCAATCTTTTAGTTTTTAGATTTTATTGTTTTAAAAAGATCTTTTATAACTGTATTAATATTTTAGAAACTTATTACATTTTTTGTCTTTCTTTAATTACATTTTTTTATTTTTTAGTTTAATTATCTTTTAATTTTTAGACTTTGGTTTTAACAAATGAAGTGTTTTTTAATTACTTTTAAATTTTAGGAACTTTTTTTCAATTTAATATATGCTAAAAGGCAAACAGAATAATGCTAAGACATCCTCGTTAGCAGTTCTTACGAAAGAAAAAATCAATCAATATATGTAGTTGCCAAGACGATTTCTTACGAAAATTTTGGATTTCGAAAAACTGCGGTGAGTTGAAAGATAGTTGCCAGAATTGCCCTTTTATACCAGCACTCAAGCAAACAATAGAAGTGCCAACTGCATAAGGGCCCGCCTGCACTTGGTTTAATTAACTGGTATAACTTCGCAAAGGAGCGAGGATATCTTTTAAGTTTTTTGGTTTCGACCCAAAACGGACTAACGGTTGTAGCGCCAAATAAGAACAAGAAATGGTATTCAAATGAAAATCAGCACTTTAGCAAATAAATAGTTTCGGTAAAATATTTTTTTAGGTACCACTAAGCAATTCTTAAAATTGCATTACCAGCTCCACATGTGTACCTTTCATGCATCTTTATTTCAGACAAATCCTTTAAAGACAATATATATGTACTTCCGTATAGCAGTTTGCTTGTATTTTCGTTAACAAAAAAGCTAATTAAATAAATACTTCAAACCTCTTTCGTAACTTTCAACCTACGCAAATACAATAATAAAAATATACAGAAGTAATAGAAATTTCAGATTTTTAATTTTAGTCTACGAACTAAATACTCGCAGCGCTAATCGCCGCAAAAAATGCTTCAAATGCCAATTTCATTACCAAATTAAATGAAGTACCAAAAAATCAATATCTTAACGACTGTAAACAATTCAAGAGCCAACAGTTGATTAAAGTTCAAAGAAACAAATAAAACGATTTTCAATAAATTTACACAAAGAAGTAAATAATAGAGAAAAATGTAAATATAAAAATCTGCTAAGCCAACTTACTGCCATGAAAAGCTGCCGGTGATGCCGTCCTTCAGGCGGTCGCGCAACGAACGCTGTCTGCTCGGCCCAGGGCCGGTAAGTGGCGGCAGTGTGGCATTCTCGCCATTGCCATCGTCGATGGCGGTGCTAATATTCGAGGCAGAGCTGGATATGGGTGCGCTGCCCGCAGCACCACCACCGCTGACATTGCCACTAGCGCCCAGCGGTTGCTGTGGCTGTTGTTGCTGCTGTTCCATATGCTCCATTATGGGTGGCTGCGATTGTGTTGCTGCTGCTTGTTGTAAATTATGTGGTTGTGGCTGATTTTGCTGTTGTTGTTGCTGTAGAAATTGATTATGGCGCCGCCGTATACTGTGCCGCGGCGAATTTTCACGCGACATTTTGTTGTTGTTGTTGTGGTGTGTGTGGTTTTAGTTATTTCAAAAAATTCGTAAAATTTTTAGAATATTTGATTACTACTTGGAGGTGTGTATTTTCAAATTTTTATTTTCTTTTTTTTGAGGGGGGAGTGGGGAGCTTTTTAAATTTAATTCGGTTTTTTATGTAAACTACGCAAGATGCAATGCGCCGTTAAATTTACGATTTATTGGTTTTTATTTGTATTGTATACGAGTTTATGATGAAAGCTCAAATTTCGTTTAAAATTTCATATTTGGTTCGAACAATAAAAAGTCGTAGCAAATAAAAAAATAACACATTCAAGCATTGGGGGTGGTCTATATTAGAAAATAGTAATGTGAGATTAAAATATTTTTATTGGTTTTTATATATTTCAGCATATTTTTTTTAAGCATTTCACATTTAGATGCGCATTCAGTTATAAGAGTGAGTTTTTGAGAGTAAAGTTTTTGTATGAAAAATTAATGTAGATTAAAAAGATGAAAAAGTCATAAGTAGAAAAAATATATACTATTTATTATTGATGCAGAAATAGCAGTTGAAAATATTAAAATAGTTTATTAGTTGGGAAAAGAGTAAGTTGTTTGTTATTGTGTTTTCAAGTGCTGTGTTTTTTATATAAAAAGAATTGATTGCCTACTTCTAAATGAGATTTATGTATACAAGCATATAAACTAACAATATATAAACTATTCCTATACTATATCTAAGAAAAACTTGCATATCTTAGTTCTATACCTAAATAAAATTATCTAAAATATTAAACGGATTTAATTATTTGTTTGTTATTGATCGGTCATACCTCCTGCATGAAGTGATCTGTAGAATTTTAAGATTATAATCCACAAAGAAAAATTTCTAAGTCAACTAAGTCAATTCAACTTTTCGCAGGAGTCAACGTATCGCTCTTCCCTCTCTAGCCAGTATGAAAAGTAGAGGCTTCAGATGTCATTCGAGTGTCTTAAATCCATTACTTACATTCCTGTTGCCAGATTCACAGACATAAGGCTACTTTTTTATGCCCTACAAGGTGATAATTCCTATAGGAGACTCACATATAGTATTCCAAGATTAGCCATGAGAGCCTAAGTACTCGCATTAGTTACTGTCACTTTGATGGAAATCATTCTCCAGATTCTAGTTGGCGCCGTTAATCGTTCTCAAAGCTGTGCTTGGGGTTGATCAGTTTCCAATGTCCCTCCTGTCTAAACTTCACAAGTTTCTCAATGGCCCATCAAATCTTGTGAATCGCTTTTCTCTTTGGCAGTCATCTTTCAGCGGTAAGTTTAGAATATTTATTAAAAAACTTTTCTTTGTAAACTTTGGACAATATCCGGAAATAAAACGGTTGTGAACACCATTTATCAGCTAGTTTTAGTCTACCTTCAGTCTTCCTTATGTCAACCTATGATGTAGTTAGATAACAAAGTCATCCGCAAACCAATTTGATTAAAATCCATTGCCTTTTAGCTTTTCTAGAAGATTTTCAGCAGTCAGCGTTAACAGTGGAGGAGATTGAATACCAAGCAACTCGCTTAGCTCTTTTCTTACTCAGCTAAAAACAAACAAACATGTCTGTGGAGTTGTTGTATCGCCGGACCTAAATTCATAGGCGAGCTACATAGACAGGAGCTATGTATATTCCAAAGTTTTGGGGAGTGATCAGAGTTACTTTTATAATCCAGGCTGGCCAGGTCTCTTACGTATCCCCAGAAAATTCATGACTATTAGCTTTTCATTGTTTCTTCTAAAGGCACTTGAAACTATTGATTTAGCTCCACATGAAAAACAAGTTTCCCAGGAAGTGTATGTGCTTTAACCAACACGCCTACTGCAAGGGCAGATCGGTGAATTCGGTTCTGCACTCAGTTGTAGAGATAATTGAACAGTCCCTCTCCTAGAAGACCTATGCGGTCACTTCCTTCCTTGATACAGAGCCGACTTTTAATAACGTCCGAGGCACAAACGTTTACGACATTTATAAACTGAATGCCGAGATCGAGTTTTATTTTGTATATGTCGGGTGGTTGCTATTTCGGATGACCTAGCACTTATCATTAGAGGAACGTTCTTAGGCAGCT